AAAAAAAAAAAAAAGAAAATACATCCTGCACATCAGGTATTTACATTACAATTCATAACAGTAGCAAAGTTATGAAGTAGCAACAAAAATAATTTTATGGTTGGGGGTCACCGCAACATGAGGAACTGTACTGAAGGGTCACAGCAATAGGATGGTTGAGAACACTGATCCAGAAACATGTTCAAGTGCAGCCACTATTTGATATATGCTAAGTCCATTTTCTAATCTAAAAAAGGTGATGTTTCTGGTGACCACTTTATCTGTGAAAAGTTACCAAATAAAGGATACCTCTCAAAAAAGACTGTTTCAACAATGTCTGCAAAGGGAGTTTTAGAACTGTCTGTCTTCTTGATTTTCAGGCTCCCAGATGGCCGGGGAGACCATATGTTCTGACTTTTTCCTATATGTGAAGATAACGACTTTTCATACTTTCTGTGGTCTCCCTTGGGAGAGAGAATGAGAAAGGTTGCGTGGGCCATCTCTGAGGTTTGTTTATTGATCTCTCTCCATCTGGGACTATTTATGTCTCTGTGACGGTGCTTTAAAAAACAAAGAATATCTACACTACAGTCTAATTCTTTTCATGAGTGTCTTTTGTGTCCCCAGGTAGATTCAAAACTCCTTAGGGCAGGAGACAGATCAGACCTTCCTGCGAAGTCGTCACAGGAGTCCTTACAACAAGATACAGAGCTGGCACTTGGCAAACACGAATGGCCTTGATGTGTAGCTGTACAACCGCCCTCTGGCTGTTTCAATGTTCTGGCTAGAGGAGGGCTTTGTTCAGTCCTTTAAAAAAGCAAACAAATCGAACTTTGTTGAGGTGGAGGTAAAAAAGCCAGGCATACTTAACATACGGGATACGTGTACACCATGAAACCACCATCGCAACCTGTGCCTAAAGCTATCATCTCTCTCTCTGTTGTTGTTTTAGTTTTAATTTTTTTTATACTTGACTTTTGGGAATGAAGGTCCCAACAAGATCCACTCAAGTATTTGGTTAATGGGTCTCTTTTAGTCCATAGCTTCCCCTTCCCTCCTTTTCCCTTGCTGGGTCGTGGATCTGATAGAACTTCCCACGCTCGGGATTCTTCTTACCGCGTCCACATGGCACAGTTTAACGTGTTTCTTCATTTCCTGTATCTGCTGGCCAAGCTAGAGGTTCGATTTCTTTTTATGAGAACGCCTCACAGGCAGTGTTGTGCTTTCTTCCTGGTGCAACTTCGGGAGTCACCTCTAATGCCTGTGTGTCTACTAATGGCATTTCCCACGGGTTCCCATGCAATCAGCCTTATCCATCTCATACTCAAGTTCTCCCTCAGCCTTTTACCTAAATAGTTTATCAGCCATTGATAGTCCTTGCCTAGATCCAGTATCATTATTTTTTGCATGAAGACATTTTTCTTTTTATTGAGGTAAAATTGAAATATGTTTCCAATCTCTGTAGAAGACAACTATAAATGCACAATATGTAGAGATTGATAAATTATATGCTTATACACAAGCATTCCACTCTGGTGGTGCATTTCATCACCCCAGAAAATTGCCTCGTGCATCACAGGAAACCACTGTTTGATTTCTGTCACCAGAGTTAAGTTTGTCTGCTCTGGGGCCGCTCTATTGTGTCTGACTTTTTTTGATCAATAAAATGGATTTGAGGTTCACTTATAGTCTTAGTATCCCATTTGTTTCTTCATATTCCCATTGATGAACCTTTGAGATGTTTTCAATTTTTGGTAACATGAGATCAGTGCTCTGGATATAGAGTAGATGCATAGTCAACTACTTTTTAAATTTCTTTTTTTTGAGACAGAGCCTCAAACTGTCCCCCTGGGTAGAGTGCTATGGCATCATAGCTCACAGCAACCTCCACCTCCTGGGCTCAAGCGAGTCTCCTGCCTCAGCCTCCCAAGTAGCTGGGACCACAGGCGCCCACCACAAATGCCCAGCTATTTTTTGGTTGCAGCCTTCATTGTTGTTTTGGTGGGCCTGGGCTGGTTTCAAACCCGCCACCTTAGGTGTATGTGGCTGGTGCCTTAGCCACTTGAGTCACAGGTGCCGAGCCTAAATTTCATTTTTAATTGTTTAATTTTTAATTATATGAGTATATACTTGTGCATATTTGGGGGTACATGTGATACTGTGTTCTATGTATATAATATGAAATGATCAAACCAGGGTGATTGGGGTCTCTACCCATCACCTCAAGCATTTATTATTTCTTTGTGTCAGGAACATGGCAGCTCCACTCTTTCAGTTGTTTTGAGACATACAATAAATTGTTGTTGACTGTGGTCACCCTGTTATGCCACTGAACACTAGTGTGTCCCTTGTTTTGTTAGGAGTTACAAGGTAGTGATAATGTAATTCTATCCTCTTTCTGCATGTATTAGCTCAAATTTAAGAGTAATTTTCTTTCATTAGCTTTTTGGTTACCTTGATATATAGACTATTCCTAGTTTTCAGAATAATGACTTTGTTTTTTAGCATCCTTCTAAGGTAATAAATGAAGCCTTCATTTTAGTATTACTGTGAACAAATGGACTTTAATATTGTTGACGTATTTCAGGTCTTTGCCGTCATTATTCTTTTTGACGTCCCATGTTTGGCCAGTGGGGACCTTTTCCATTTGAATCTTGGACTATTTTATCACAACCTCAGCAGTCTTTGCTGTTATCCATGCCATGTGCTATAACAAGATATTCCAGGCTCAGTTTGTACATTTCCTGTTCCTAGACCAGAATCAGCCATTTATCTAAGGTACCTGGGCTGGTCGGTTTGTTTATATTTGTTTATTGCATATATTTACATAATAATATACATAATGAATGAGTGTCATTATTTCCTATTAAAATTAGGAGTATAAGTTTCTTACATAACTAATTTAATTTTATAATTTATCTTTTTCCTCTTACAATAAAAATCTTGGTTCCTAATAATAACATAATTGCTCACTTGCTTTATTCTACTAGCATCAAAATAATGACATCAATATCGTTACTGATGACACAGTTACTGAGAACAGTTTAGAATTTCTCTTTGTCCCACTGGATGTACAATTAAATCACTGTGTCTGAAACAGTCATTTAAAAATACTTCTCTGTGTGGTTAAGCCACTAACTTGCCACCCGTCTTTCCTTGTTTGGTTTTTCTTTTGATTTTGAGGGTTAAGAAAGAATCCTTTTTTTAGGGTTTTGTACAGAAGGAGGGATAATAAGGAGCTCCATAGGTTTCTGTCAGAATGAAATGAAAATGACGGGTGGGAGAGCCCACTGTGAACGCAGGATCTGTGGGAATGTGAAGATTCCTTTTCTGTAGCAAAGCTCATGGTTCCGCCCCGCTGGAGAATGCTGTTACTGAAACTGTCACGACGTGCATCTGGCCCCACTTAGGGTTAGTTACTGCCACAGAGGCTTGATTGCCTAATTTGTCCTCTCATGGAGCCCGATTTATTCCAATTTAGCCATTAAACTCCCCATTTCTCTGGTTCTTCAACATACTGAATGGTGATAAATTACAATACCTCATAGATTTTTTTGTGTAGAATACAGGAGACAATCCATGTATGTTAAGTGTCCAGCACAATGACTGTCCTCGGTTACATCCTTAATAAACAGTAATAATCCAAATACCTCCTGTTTATCAAGCACATCAGGACATGCCAGGTGTGTCTATGAACTAATTCATTTAATATTCCCAACAACCTTGAAAGTTTGGCGCAATTGGTAATTATCCCCACTTGTATTATTATTTTTATTATTTTTTTATTGTTGGGGATTCATTGAGGGTGCACAGAAGCAGGTCATTATCTCCACTTTACAGATGAGGAAACTGAGGTCTACAAAGGGCAAATTCTCAAAGCCACACAAAATAAGTAGCAGGGAAAGGATTTAAACACTGACTTGCCTGGTTCCAGAAGCCACATATGAGGAGGATGAAAACTTCATTAGATTTTTGTGAAGGTTCAGTGAGATTTTGTATGAGGTGCCCCCAGCATATGACACGCTTACTAACCGGGAGATTTACTTCCTTCTTCCCTCCTTCAATTCTGCCAAGGAAGCTAGGTGGGGGAGTTGAACCACTTAGGAGATGGCAAGGAAACAGACCGAGCCCATCGCCATCATCAGCCTTCGGAGGTTGAGCATGAGGATCCCAGAGCCACAGCCACAAGGTGGGATCTTTCAAGCTGTTGCTTAATCCCCCCCCCCCCGCCACCCATATCAACTTGTCTTTATAATGATGAATTGGCTTTCCCACATCCTGCAAAGTGAGCGGTGCTCCTTACGTATTCCCTTCCCACCAGAAGCTGTTCCTTCCATCCCTTTCCCTGTTAGAGTCGAAGACCTTCACTGTGGAGGACGCAGTGGAGACCATCGGATTCGGACGTTTCCACATCGCCCTGTTTCTCATCATGGGCAGCACTGGGGTGAGTTCTCCTTGGGGCTGATGTGCATCTCCCCTGCCCACCTCTGCTGGTTTGTAGAGCCTCCCGGCGACTCCAGCTGGGCTGTCCGCAGGGGTGTGAAAGGAACAGAAGCCTCAGGAGGAGGGTGAGCCAAGGTCACTTTCATTCACTTTTGTCTCGTGTTTGGTTATGAGCAAATGAACATTTGTGTCTTTATGTTTTGGGAATTCACTACTTATTTTTTTAAATGATTTAAATGAAAGTATTAAGAAGGGAGAAAACCATGGTATTATTCTATGTAACATTTGACACACTATTCTCATTTTGTGCCTAACAGTCACCTGAGACATAAATCATAATTACCAGGTCAAGAGGCACTGATGAAGGTTCCACTGGGTCCCCTCCAAAACTCAGGTGTTGCCCATATAATAGTATTAAGAAGTGGGTCTTTTTGAAAGGGGATTATGGCGTGAATCTCCCTCATGAAGGGGATTCAGTCCCTTCTAAAGGGGCTTCATCCAATAGCCTTCAGCTCACCTGCCTTCTGCTGTGTGAGTACAAGGTGTCCCTCCACTGTAGAATTCAGCCCGCATGAGACCACAGGACTTGCTGGTACCATGATCTTAGACTTCCCAGCCCTCAAAACTATGAGAAAATAAATTTCTGTTCTTTGAAAATTATTCAATCTCAGATATTTTGTTAAAGCAGCACAAATGGACTAGGACATTTACCATATGCTATTTTGAGGAAAGAAAAAGGACAGGTCAACTTTGGGGTTTGGCAACAGTAGAGATGTTTGAGGAACTCCCAAACCACTTCTGCTCTCTCCATTTGAAGGTGGAGTGAGAATATATTAACCCCATAGTGAGACCCATTATGATCAGGAGACAGCTTGGATAATCGAAGACAAGTGGTCAATACAACAGCAAATTTGGAGTGGGAGAGTAAAGATAGCTAAGGGGGAGATGAGTGAGAAAAACTCTAGAGAGGTACGAAGTTATGATTTAATAAAAATAGTAATAAAAACAGTTGTGAAAAGAAAAAAAAAATACAGTAGAGAGCTGTAACCCTCACCGCTCAGCTAAATGGTATGAGGGTCACACGAGCTGGAGGTAGCACATATGTTCTGATCCATTGTTCAAAAGCATTACATTCTCAGAAGACAGTCTAGTGTAAAAAAGGGAGGAAGGCATGATGTGTCTTAGTCCTACTTTAAAAAGAATTATTTGTTTACTAGAGACAAGGTCTTCCTGTGTTGCCCAGGCTGGTCTTGAGCTCCTGGGCTCCAAGCAAACTCCCACCTTGGCCTCCGAAAGTGCTGGGATTACAGGCATGAACCCGCCCTCAAGGTCTACTTTGATAATAACCAAGAATACAGTTCAGAACATTTCCTCACCTGTAAAGTGAGGTCTCTTACAGACTCCAATTTTTGTTGTTGTTTTTTGCAGTTTTTGGTGGGGCTGGGTTTGAACCCACTACCTCCGGTGTATGGGGCCAGTGCCCTACTCCTTTGAGCCATAGGCACCACCCTAGACTCCACATTTTTTTTTTTGGCAGTTTTTGGCCAGGGCTGGGTTTGAACCAGCCACCTCCGGCATATGGAGCTGGCACCCTACTCCTTTGAGCCACAGGCGCCGCCCCGACTCCAAATTTTTAAGATTCTGTATTTCAAGGGGTAAATGTGCCTGGGTAGGGTTTTACTATGAACTCTCCTCCACCTTCAACCAGGACATGTCATTAGAATAGATGTGCTGACAGTGGTGAGCCGTGGCTGGGCCTGCTGTGGCCGGTCTAGAGGCAGTGGGCAGCTGTAGTCAGGCTTCAGGGCCATGTGACACAGATACACAGTGACAGCTTCCATGGCAGCAGAGCATCCTCAGCCCATGAACAGGACTCCTAAGTTCTGGATTCACTGAGGCCTCCAGTGAGGTCTTCTCAGACCCTATACCGTGAAGCTGCTGTGTGCGCCCCACCCTCGCTTCTGGCTGTGCCCTCCCAGGTTTTAATTCAGACTGATTTGTTATTGGCTTACTTCCTTCTCCAACCCTTTAGAAGAGTGACATCCTTATTAATATTGACCAAGCTGCTCTATATCACTGAGGGAGATAAGTTTAATAAATCAAACTTTTTTCTGAGATGATTATGGTATCTCTTATTCTTGATACTTTTAAAACATACCAGCCATCCAAACTCCGAACATGACTATAATGGTCGAACTTCAAATTCCCACGATTAGCTAATATCCTTCTGCCCTTTTCATCCCAGGCCTCCAAGTGTAAATGTTACTATGATAAATCCACATCCTAACAATGTTATCAACAAGACGTGTCCCAGACAAACCCGTCATTCCCTCCCCCAAAGACGTCAATGTTCATCCCTTCCTGCAGGCACAAAACCTCGACTCTCTGTTATTCATCCTTCTTTACAATTCTGCACCTGATTTCTCTTATTAATTTTGGTTTATTCTTTCAATTGCTTTCTAGCATCTATTTCCTCTCCCGGGGAGAGAAATTTACTCTGTAAAGGATTGTAAGATGGGGACAGAGGAGAATGCTCAAACTTGGTGTCGAAAAAAATAATTAGTAGCACATCCTACACCGTTTGCTAACAAGACATTTTCCTGCTGGTGAACTCATTATTTTGCTTATTTTGCAGCTTTCATGAATCTTTCCTCTGATCCTAGTTTTCAAGAACTATTTCTTGACTATTTCAAAAACCCATCTGCAAGGGGTATGCCCTGCAATCTTCATGCATTGGAGGGTATAAAACAACAAAACTGTTAGACAGTTGATCTGGAGGCTGCTGGTTAGCTGGGTTCACCCACCAGCTAAGTGACTGGCCCCCACAGCACCCTCACCATGCCACCATGCAAATGCATGGGTCAGCAAAATCACAAGCGAATCCATGCTATAAATCTTAGGGGACCCTTTCAAATCCAAACCATATATGCTACATTTTTGAAAGCCAGAGTTGTGCTATAGTTCTTTATCCAACTAGTGGTGAGGTGTGGGTTTACCATGGTGCTCTCTGATGGGGGGTGGAGAGGAAGTTGGAGCTAGGAAGGATGACAGACAGATAGACAGTGACGACAGGCTGGCACTTAGCCACGGTGCTATGTCCTGCTTCTTTAAGGTTGTCGAGGCCATGGAGATCATGTTATTAGCTGTGGTGTCTCCTGTCATCCGCTGCGAATGGCAACTGGAGAATTGGCAGGTGGCTTTAGTGACCACGGTGAGTATGTGCTTCATTGTTGTGAATGAGCCAACTGGGGGCCTGGGCTCCCCTTCCCCCACCCCCAGGGCTGACCAAAGGATGCCCAAAGGCTACCTCTCTACTTGGTGCATTGGCTCCATAGCTTGCGGGTTCGCAGGCTGAAACCACACCATGCCTCTTCCCCCTTCCTCTTTTCCTTAGACCGCTTGCTTCCCAGCCTTAGAGCAGAGTCCAGATGAGAGAATTGCAAATTAGAAAAGCGACCCTTAAGTCTTAGGTTAGTCATGGTTAGGTCAGAGGTCAGATCACTTAGAAGCTACTAAATTAGACAATAGTGACCTAACCAATTACCAAATCACTGTCTCTGAATTTTGCTCTTACTCATTCACCTTTTTTCAAAGCCCACTATGAAAAGCCTTATTAAGAATTGCATGACAAGTTTTGCTACAAAGTGGAATTAAGGCTACTATCCATCACTCTTTCAAAAAGCATTAAGTACCAACTCACTGCCAGTAGATAGGGTGGTGCATGAATGTATGTTGGGAAGACCACAGGCAGTTCTGTGCTGCTTAAATAGCAAGAGAGAAGGAGGGAGCGACGGGAGGTGCGGTTGCCAAGGTAGGCAGGAGGCAGAAGCACCTCATGGGCTGGGCACAGACTCCGCTCTGGAGCCACTGCCCGCAACACTGGGCCAAAGCCACGGAAGCCTCCAAGCAAAAAATATCTGACACATAGTATATATTACAGTTTTTCCAATTACCATTGTGTATAATAAAAATCAATTTTATATAAAAGCATTACTGACTTTATAGTCATTATACATTTCTCAATAGATGGATATTAAAGTACACTTATCATAGAGCTGGATAGGATTCTTTTTTAACTCTTTTTTTTTTTTTTGAGACAGCCTCAAGCTGTCCTCCCGGGTAGAGTGCCGTGGCATCACAGCTCACAACAACCTCCAACTCCTGGGCTCAAGCGAGTCTCCTGCCTCAGCCTCCCAAGTAGCTGGGACCACAGGCGCCCACCACAACGCCTGGCTATTTTTTGGTTGCAGCCATCATTGTTGTTTGGCGGGCCCAGGCTGGATTCGAACCCGCCACCTTGGGTGTATGTGGCTGGCGCCTTAGCCGCTTGAGGGACAGGCGCCGAGCCTCTTTTTTAACTCTTAAGACGCTCCTAATATATAAAAATTCCAGAGGCCATACGTGGGGGGTGAAGTGGGGAGCCATTGGAGGGTTTTCCGGAGGCATGTGGTCAGCTTCCCAAGAACTCCCAGGGCTGAGCTAGAGGGTGGGAGGCCAGCAGGAGGGGTGAGTGAGGCTGTGTTCTGGAAGTATGTAGGAGATAGCATCAGCCAAGGAGGCCAATGAACCCCAAGGTAAGGAGAGAAGGCTGATTTACTTGGGTATTTAAGCTGGTTTTAATGAGGAGAGGGCTTTGTTGGGGTCAAGGGAAGACTTCCCCTTCACCCTCTGAAGTTTCACTAAATAATAAACTGGCAAGAGGCAGATTAATAGGAGATAATGCATATAAAAGTTCTATATGTACAGCACAGGGGAATTATAGTGGGATGGTTACCTACACTGGCTCCCTAAGCTTGTGGCTTCCTTCCTTCCTTTTTTTTTTTTTCATGAATCACTTCTATTTTTATTTATTTTTATATTATTTTTGGCCAGGACTGGTTTGAACCCACCACCTCTGGTATATGGGGCCGGCGCCCTACCCCTTTGAGCCACAGGCGCTGCCCCATGCATGACTCACTTTTATTCTATACTTTTAGAACAGAGAAAATTTGTATTTTTATTTATTTATTTTTTAGAGGCTAGGTCTCACTCTGTCACCCAGACTTGAGTGCAGTGGCACAATCACAGTTCACTGTAGCCTCAAACTCCTGAGCTCAAGTGATCCTCCTGCCTGAGCCTCCTGAGTAGCTGCCTATAGGCACCTACCACTGCACCCAGTCCCACAGTTTTTTTTCTACAGGGCTGTGATTTTCAGAGAGTCCTAAAATAATTTTGTTATGGTACATGTGTGCGGGAGCCCCACCTCTGTTGCCTCTCTGTTTCACTTTGTTAGGGTTTCGGCTTAACCCATTTTGATTCTGACAATAAAAGCGTTACTTGCCAATCCTTATATCTTTAGGGTGATGGCTGTAACTGTTTAATCATAACTGCTCCGCACCCCAGTTAGTTGTAGATTTGTCCATCTTATTTCCTGAACATGCTGGAGATCCAGGTGTGGCATTTGCATCTGCCACTTCTACAGATTTATATTATGATACAGGGTTCAGAATGCTCACCTGTCACGTACGTTTGGTTGCAATTATGTTTCCCAGTGGTGCCTAAGGAGGCTCCTTTAATAGCAGTTGCAGGAGTTCCCTTGTTAGGTGCACCACAGCTCCAGCTTCTCTAGGTGACTAAACTCACCTATGAGGTGATTGTCTCCTGCTCTGACTTCCTGCCATTCTCCATTGCTTTAGACTCTGTCAATCTTGCTCCTGCCTGAGTCTCATCTGACTTTGGGCATCTGTCTCCTGGGCTCACAGGCAACCATCTGGCTGACAGGAGGGTCTCAGGCTGATTAGCAACATTTTCCTTTTCCCAGGCTCCATACCCCTGAACTCCAGTTCCACCTTCCCCAGAACCATAACCTCAATAACCCAACTGGAGTTATAATTGCTACCTGAGAACCTAAAGGATGCGGGTGTGTTACATCCCTTGTGTTTTGCATGTAAGAGAGTTAATGCTAAAGAAATAAACCTCATGGCTTGGCGCCTGTGGCTCAAGCGGCTAAGGCGCCAGCCACATACACCTAAGGTGGCGGGTT